GAATTATCACAAATGGCAGGACTACCAATTTATTTTCGTTCTGTTGAGAATGGACGTCTTCAGTGGTTGCCCATCTCTAATTTTCCTTAAACACGAAGAAAGCAGAGCTCCCTTATCTCCTGCTGTTCCCCGTCCCGCTGGATTTACACAACCAGCCCTTCAATGCATCTTGTCCGTGACGGGGCATGGACTCTGAGGACAAGTTTTGCCAGGAAGATCACCTCCACTTGGAGGCCTAACCTGACAGCATATAGACCCCTTCCCCAGCAAACCGCAACATTTTGCTTTGTAGTTGTAACAGACTGGATTCAGCTTGGGTTTGACTTTTATAAAACATTGCAAATGACTTGGACAAAATTAACTTGTCAGAAAGCTGTGAACACCTGTCATGTTTACTTCTCCTTTACCATGACAGATATTTTGAAAAAGATGTGTTCTTGCAGTTTAAATTACTCTTCAACTTTGTTTCAAGGTAAATATCCTTTAAGAAAAAAAGCAAGCAGCAAGTATGTTTATTATAACAACAGCTTGCCAATGAACAGCATAATTTTCAAAATTTACCATGACTAAGCAGCTGATTTAGAGTTTCAGCTTGTAATTACACAGAGAAAGGAAGTTAAAAAGCCTTTCTGCTGATTCAACTAAACTTAGTCTTAAGCAAACCAAAAATAATCTTTCTTGGAAAATACATTTAGTCTCACTGTACTTGCGCAGCCTTTTTACAGATTTTTAGTTGCAAAGTGATCTGCAAACACTTCACATAAAGCTGCAGCTAATAACCGAGGACAGCTCTTAAATCAAAAGCATTATTAGGGCAGGGTATGAATCTCACTACTCAGTGAACACGCACAGATCCATGTGTTACACTGCAACCCTCTGCAGATTTACTGGACACATCTTTTTCTCAGAACTGTAGCTACAGACTGAGCCTTTAGACCTAGCAGCCTCCACATTTCTTGCCATTTCACGTGCAATGTATAAAGCGAGTTATTTGTAATACTGGTTCGTTTGTCAGTTTGTAACCTATTTATCACACCTCACGCACTCCAGCTCAAGGTCGATACTTTCTCTTATAACAGTAAGGATGCACAGCAGCAGTGACAGATGGCCAAGCGCTGAAGTGTTTTGGGGAACGAGGCAGGTGGGAGAGCTCATTAATAAAAGAAAACAGCAGGAAGGAGGATGAGAGAAGAAAGAGGAATCAGTCAAGAAGCATGGTCTGAAGAAAAGGGATCAGCCAAGATCCCGAGGGAGCTGGGTAGATGCGTGCCTTCCGGGCTTTTAGTGTGTGGTTTGTATTACTTGCATGTTTAATGCAATAAATGCTTTCCAGAATTTTTATGCTTCCAGATCATGACAGAAATTTCCAGTGTGTTAGAACAGAATGTAACATTTCAGTTGAAGGTACCTACAATGATTGTCTTGTCCGACTGCCTGACCAAAAGTTAAAGCATGTTGTTAAGGGCACTGTCCAAACGCCTCTTCAATACTGACACACCTGGGCCATCGACCACCTCTCTGGGAAGCCAGTTCCAGTGTTTGACCACCCTCTTGGTAAAGA